TTTCAAACTAAGTTTTGGTGCATTCATGACTATTAAGGCGTTTTCAGGCCGAGAGAAGGCTTAAAAACGCACAGAACACAATAATGCATTGGTTAACAGTGTTCTCCTAAAACTAGCACCTCAGGAAAGTACACGTATCTGTTTCATGATGGTATCATGGTTTGTGAATAGTTTTCCAACCTTTTTTGTTCAAACTAAGTTTTGGTGCATTCATGACTATTAAGGCGTTTTCAGGCCGAGAGAAGGCTTAAAAACGCACAGAACACAAGAATGCATTGGTTAACAGTGTTCTCCTCAAACTAGCACCCCAGGAAAGTGCATTTATCTGTTTTATGATAGTATCATGATTTGTGAATAGTTTTCCAACCTTTTTTGTTCAAACTAAGTTTTGTTGCTTTCTTCACTATAAAGAATTTTGCAGGCCGAGAGAAAGCTTAAAAACGCACAGAACACAATAATGCATTGGTTAACAGTGTTCTCCTCAAACTAGCACCTCAGGAAAGTACGTTTATCTGTTTCATGATGGTATCATGATTTGTGAATAGTTTTCCAACCTTTTTTGTTCAAACTAACTTTTGTTGCTTTCTTCACTACAAAGGCGTTTGCAGGCTGAGAGAAAGCTTAAAAACGCACAGAACACAAGAATGCATTGGTTAACAGTGTTCTCTTCAAACTAGCACCTCAGGAAAGTACGTTTATCTGTTTCATGATGGTATCATGATTTGTGAATAGTTTTCCAACCTTTTTTGTTCAAACTAAGTTTTGGTGCTTTCTTGACTATTAAGGCGTTTTCAGGCCGAGAGAAGTCTTAAAAACGCACACAGAACACAAGAATGCATTGGTTAACAGTGTTTTCCTAAATCTAGCACCTTAAGAAAGTACATTGATCCTTTTCATTATGGTATCATGATTTATGAATAGTTTTCCAACCTTTTTTGTTCAAACTAAGTTTTGTTGCTTTCTTGACTATTAAGGCGTTTGCAGGCTGAGAGAAAGCTGAAATCGCACAGAACACAAGAATGCATTGGTTAACAGTGTTCTCCTCAAACTAGCACCTCAGGAAAGTACATTTATCTAATTTATGATGGTATCATGATTTGTGAATAGTTTTCCAACCTTTTTTGTTCAAACTAAGTTTTGGTGCTTTCTTCACTATTAAGGTGTGGTGCCACGGAAGAAATAGAGGAATAATAAGTTGATTAAATATTCGAAGAACAATACTTGGAATGCTTCATGCATTCCAACAACTAGAAAATGCATTTCCTCCTGAAAATACGTTGGAATGCAAAAAGCTGAAAGCTGAACTAAATTTTTAAAAATAGCTGAAAATACAGAACGTTGAAGGGAATTTGAATACATTTGCTGAAATGACAGATATTAGAAAAGCTGAAATTAAATTAAAATTGCTGAAAATACAGATATGGGAGAAGCTGCATGGAATTTCAATAGATTTGCTGAAAAAGCACAAATGAAAACAGCTGAAATAAATGTGAAATACTGCATAAAAAAACAGAAATTAATATTAAAACATTGCTGTTAATAGAGGCATAAGAAAAGCTGAAATTTTTTTAAAGAACTGCGGAAGTTCCTGGAGCTTAAAAGAATTTAAAAAAATACAGAAATAACAAAAGCTGAGATGAATAAAAAGAGGTTTTAAATTGTTTATAGTAATTTTAGTAGTAGTATTAGTTATAGTTGTAATTGTGGTATTAGTAGTACTAGAGGTAGAAGTCGGTTTAGTATCAATAGCAGTAGAAACAGCTGGAATACTAATAGCCATAGTATTATTTGTAATAACATTAGTAGTAGTTGTAGTATTAATAGCAGTAGAAATACTAGTAGTATGGTAGTAGAAGTATCAGTTGTAGTACTACAAGTACTAGTAATATTCGTAGTGGGTGTATTGAAAGAGCAATACGTATTTCAACGAAACCGCTTCATTCTGAGCTTCATGGTTAAGGTACAGATAAGCTTTTATTTTAAAATTATGGAATTGGGTGAGGGGGGGTTGGGAGACAATGTTTGTTATTCAAACTAAGATGTTTTTAATGAATAGGCCTCATCACAAACATTACAGTAAAAATTCCCTCATAGGGCTTTTATTTTGAAATTATTGGATTGGGTGGGGTGCGGGGGTGTAGATAGAGGGAGGGAGGGAGGGTGAGAGGGTGAGGAAGGGAGGAGTGGTGAGGAAGAGATAGAGGGAGAGAGAGAGAAGGAGAAATAGACAGACAGACAGACTGTCTATGATTAACAGTGAGAAGAGGTCAGGGTGGAGAGGGGAGGGGGGGGCGAGTGTTTTCATCATATTGGTCTGTTGACGGAAACCATAGCTGCGTCATGTGACTCCACTAATGAGGTCATAGGAGCAGCTGTGAGTCACAGACAGAGATACTGCAGCGTGTGTCTGTGAGTATCCACGGCAACGGCGCACCTGGGCTCATTAACGAGCTGCTGCAAAGGGCAGAGACCGGACAGCGAGTTACACAGAATCCACACCTCAAACAAGTGTCCACCAGCGCAAAAATAAAAAATCCATTGTTGCGAGACCCAAGACTCTACCGAACGCATGGATGCGGTTTTTATGTCTGTCCGGTAATAAATACGGCTCCTGTCGCAGTTTATAAAACCCTCTGGATTGTACCTTCTCTGGATGTACCTTCTGGATTTTTTGAGAAATATGTCGGCAGATTTGTATTGAAGCCTATGGGCTTTTGGCAGAGGTTGTGTCACTCTAACACTCAGGAATCCAAACTAAAGAAGTCTGGGATTCCATGAACACATTAATCCAATCAGCACAAGTCTATGCCATCATTAATCCAAAGAAATGAAGCCTCAAAAGTGTATACTTTGGCTGCAAGGACAGAAGTTCCATATTTTTTTAACCAGATTCTGACGCTGCCCCACACTCTAGCCCTCGAGGTCTCACTCTAGCACAGTGTTTTTCAACCTTTTTTGCGTCAAGGCACACTTAAGACACAGAAAAAATCTCAAGGCACACCAACAACCGGAAATGATATGAAAATCAATCCCAAACATAGTTTCAGCATGACCATAATATACTCTAAGAAATCAGGGAAACGCGTGTTCTATTTGTTGTGTTTTATTAAACTTAACATCATCCTAATGCCAAGATGGCACAGGCTTTATGCCCAGGTATCTCTTAATCTCACTTTTTTAAATTGTTGCCTCAGCAAATCTGCCTATTAATTACGCTGCGTACCGCCACCCACAGGCAGAGGGGAGTATTGAGCCTTCATACCACCAACAGCGCGACGACACATACACACAAGTTGGCTCTTTTATTTTCACCAACCGCGAGACAGCCTCTCGCGGCACACTGGTTGAAAAACACTGCTCTAGCAGACGCAATACACACTCATGTAAAAGTCAGAAACGGAGCGAAGAAGTAGTTAAACATAATCAGTGATAATGAAAAAAGTAGAATAGATATCAACAAGCAGTGATTTTCATAAAATAGTTGAGATGTGTGTCAACATTTGAAAGTTGAAATGGTGTCTGTAGCTTAAAGATTGGCGAAGCAGTTTAAGAGGATTTGAAAAACGGTCTCCATTGGAAAACCATGTTAAAATATTGATGACTATTGATTCATATAAATTCATAGCATAAGAGGTAGAAAGCTGAAAAGGAGTTGAATATTATTGAACATATAGTTTAATATTTGAACGGTTTTAATAGCTGAAAGTGTGAAGGAGTTGAAAGGTGCCGCGGAAGAAATAGAAGAAGAAGAAGCTGAAGAAATAAAGATTCGAAGAACAATTCTTGGAATGCTCTTTTCAACAAAGTCGTGCTGTTTAAAGCTTTAACATTGTTTTCATTGAGACTTAAATGAAATCACACCAATGGAGGATTAATACATGTATTTCTGAAACAGCATCAGACAAATGACCCCATAGGAAATTAAAAATTATAAACTATGAAATGTGGTGTACTCATTCACTGTGACCTATGAGCCAACCGTGACAATATATTTTTTTATGGTTCATTTAGCAACAGCAAGTATAACTATAAGCCATCAAATTGCTTCATCCAGATTAAAAATCAAGAATTGAAAAAAACAAAAATTGAAAAATATTACACGTGAGTTGGTGCTTGTTGTTGACATTGCTGGTGTTGAACACATCTGTAATAGCGAGCTGGAACTGGTCTTGGACTTGACCTGAACTCAATTAATTTGATCTTGATGTACACACTCCTCCACAGGAGTCTTCTACTGCCTAAAATGAGGGCTAGACCATAAATAAGCAGCAGTAATGTCACCAAACTCACCAAACACATGTTAACATGCACATTAATAGTTACTTTCACTATATCAGCATGTAAATGAACGAGTTGCATAGGCACCTCTGAGCAACTAAAAGAGCAGCTAAAAACTTGGTGCTCAGTTTAACCACGAAGTAGCTCATTTGATAGTTCATTAAAAAGACAAAAGAAGATTTTCACAATCACATATCCTTGTCCATGTCCTGAGCTTGAAGGTTGAAGAGTCATCTGTAAGTGCGCTCGTAGTGCGTCTGCAGTCTTGGTGAACAGAAGCCGTCAGCAGTCGGTCCGAATGGTGGCGGCCATCCAATCAGATCGGGCCACCAGTAACCTCAGGCTGTCCCCCGATGACTGGATCAGCTCCTTTCCACTAGAGAGATTGTGACAAAAAGAAGCTGTTATCCGAATTGTATATTTTGCATTACCCTGAGGCAAATCATCCTCACCTAAGGAAGTCCAGTCCCAGCAGACTGACTCCGTTAACGGCCAGGATCCGGTCTCCTGGCACCAGCCTCGCGCATCGGGCTGCAGGGGAGTCCGGGACTACCGCGCGTACAAAGACGCCTTTCGCCCTGGTGGAAGAGTCCTAGAAGATGAGGTCAACATGTCATGGCACACAGCAACTTCTTCAAACCACAAATAAAAAGGACAAATTCTCTTTTGGAAGCCGACTCATGATATCCCCACATGTGATGTCCCCACATGTACTTGAAACCAAGTTGCTCCATGAATTGTGGGAAAACCATAACCATATTGTTTGTAATTAGTGGTTCAAAATGTGCAAACCACAGCCAGTCCTTTAAAAAAAACCTGCAACTTCGAACTCGCAGAGCAGTAGGCTTTGAGATAACAACTGATTCTGAAGATGGTGACTCGCTTTAGTTTATTCTCATTTTATGTGATCTGTATGCTCTTGTTTTGGTAAGACTGTTACATTTACTGGGGTTCCACTCACTCTGTCATATCCTGCAGTGTGCTGAAATTTTGTTAGTTTGCTAGTAAACCCTAATGACTGATAAGACATCCCAGGTTTTCAACTACTGTAAATAAACAATGCAAACCCTCTTGCGTCTAACGGACTTTCCTTGACTTTTTTTTCATGATGCTGCGTTTACACCAAACGTTTACGTGAAAACTTTTCTTGGACCATTCGCAATATAGGTATGAGGATGTGTCGTACAGCTTGCGGTGCCCACACACAGCTAACATTACTATTAATTTATCATCCATTTTTTCTGATTCAGGAACTGTCCGCGGGACGTCAGTGATGCACGGTGCTATCGCAGATTTGCGTTGCTCCAGTGTAATCGCGTCTGTGCATAGACTTTGTATGTAATCCTGTGGCAAGAAAAATTCCCTACGCGTTTGGTGTGAACACGGCATAACGCGTCTTCTTACGCCGCTAACATAAGTTACATAACAAGCCATTTGTCAGTTTAACCCAAACCATGAACATAACCAAGTAAATCTAAAAAACTCATTAAGGTTGGGGAGTCTATTTTGAAAGGATGCTATGTATACTACAAGCTGTCTATGAGCGATCTAAAAGTGCAGCTTAACAGACACCAACATAGTTTGAAACATAGGGACGGGGAAGGGTATGAGAAGTTACGAGCAAAGATGTGTAGAGGAAATGGACATGGCCATTGTGATGTGACCACTTGGTTTGAAGACTTATCTTGAAGCCTTGAGATCACATTTTGTCTGGCACCATCTGTCATGAACCGAGTAACCTCCTCCTTGTTCTTCTTCTTCTTCTTCTCATATTTAATGGCGGACTGCAACCAACGTTTAGGTGCATGTCGCCACCTATTGTACTGGAGTGTGTATAGTCATGTCATTTAAATTCTACTCCATATCCCTAAGTCTTTTAAAAAGGTAAATAGAGCCTTCCTTGTAGTTCTTATTCCTTCTCCTTCTGATCCCAGTATCCCTACCAGATTCCACTCTCTCCCTGCCTCCTGAACCTTATCTTTAAGCACCTGCTTTTCCACTTCATTCAATTTACAGTTCAGTATTACATGTTCAGCATTTTCTTTAACCCCACAGTTTCCACAGTTCTCACTATTCCTTTTCCCCATTAAAAATAATGTGCCATTCAGCCCTGTGTGATCCACTCTCAGTCTTGTCATTGCAATTTCCTCACGCTTGGTATTTTCCATGTAGTTCTTTATGCTGACACTTTTTTGTATTTTATAGTATCTCCTACCTTTCCTGTCTTCCTCCCATCGTTTCTGCCATATTTCAAGACCTTTCCTTTTAACCACTGCTTTACCTTCGCCTTTTCCTAGTGGGATTGTAATTATAATTGCTTTAAGCAGTGCCTCTTTGGCCAGTCTATCTGCCATCTCGTTCCCTTTAACTCCCTCATGTGCTGGTACCCGACAAAACTGAAGCTCTATGCCACCCTGATGCAATCTAAATAAGCTGTTAAAGTTCTATTAGTAGATCTTCTCTTATTGATGTTAATGACTGCATACTTTTGATTACGGCCAGAGAGTCTGTGCACAGTACCACCCTATCAGGTCGAACCTCTTCTACCTGCGCTGTAGTGCAATAATGACTGCTACTATTTGTGCTATGTACACTGATAACCGCTCAGATAGTCTTTTAGAGATATGACTTTTAAATTTGGGTATATATATCCCAACTCCCACACATTCCTGTTTATGCTTAGATCCGTCTGTATAAATCTTTAAGTAATTATAGTAACTGTTTATCCTCCTCCTTTTTTCCATTCCAACCCTTTCTTCATTTACACACACACACACACACTTCATTACACCTGCTCATTCATTCCCAGCTGCTTCTCGTCATCCTCTCTTCCCCTCACCTGTTCCTAATGTCTGTAATTAGATGCTCTATTTCTAGCCTGCCTCTTCCCCTTGTTCTCCGCCAGAGTATTAACTATTCCCCCGACGGCCCTGCCCCTGCCGGTTAGTGCTTTACTGTGTTGTCCGAGTCCTAACCTCTGTTCCACCCAGCCTCCTGTCTGACGTGGGTGGCCTGCTGTCTGGAGCGCTCTTCCCTCGCCCTGGAACTCGTTCCCTGCACTCACTGGGATTCCCTGTTTGTTTTTTTAAAACCGAGGGACGTCATGGAACCCATTTTGACTGCGGAGCGACGTAGAGGCTGTATATGGCTCTGCTAGCAGTAGCCACCTGTCAATCACAAGCATATTCTGCGTACTGGTCTATTTGACTGTAAATACCAAACACCATATTTCACTAAATGAACACCATGCTGTATCGAAGAAGCCGATAAACTAGAGATTTAAACCATTTTGTTTACAGAAGCAAAATACCATGTCAGGTGTAGACTCATTTTCTTTGACCTTCATTTGCACGACCAGAGTTTGCTGTTGGGTTGTAAATGAGTTTAATGTACACCACCCCCATACACCGTCTCGGGATGAACGTCACAGTTTGACACAAGTCCCCTGAAGGAGTGTAGGGCTCAGACTTGTCTTTAATAACAACGGGACAGAGGTTGAACTATGAACTACAACACTCACCCTTGTGTCAACCAGGGTAAGACCAAGTCCTTGTTCACCTCGCTCCAGCTCCAGGCTAAAAACCTCATCATTACTGTCATTGTGATGGTCACCCGCCTCCTCTACCTCTTCCACCTCTTCCTCCTCCTCTTTCAAGTTGACAAACCTCTTCACGCTGTGGGAGTCTAACTTGGAGCAGTCTACTTCCAGTGCAGCGAGACATTCAAACACTAATCCTCCTGTAGAGAAAAAAGAACGTGCTCCGTTTTCTTTTTACCACAGACAAACATGAACGGGGATGTAGTCCTACCTTCATCGTGTGCGTTCACACTGGAGGACCAGGGAAGGGTTTCACTGTCACCCTTCATCCATTTCTCAACAGGATCTACGTGGCGCGGATTGTTGGGCGGGGTGAGGAGACATGAGGGGTCCTGAGCAGACCTGTTGGCATCGCCAGCCTCTCTGCCCTCTAACTCCAGATCTATCAGCTTGCGAGACAAAAGGAGGACATCGCAGGAGGTGAACTGGTCCGGATTTTGGGTGGATGAGGGAGAGGAAGGCGGTGAGGCCGATGGAGGCAAGGCACCAGAGGTAGTGGAAGGGGACCGGTCACAGACACCACCCTGGGACGAGTTTGTCTTAGCTGGCAATTTGTTCGCCATGTGCAGACTAGCTTTTGGAAAGACCTATCTCCGTCAGTTTAGTCTCAATGGGACGACAAAAGATTATTTAGAATCTTTGTATAGGTTAGAAAACATATAGAAAGATGGCATCGAACTGTGTGTCTAGAGCTTCAGCAGTACAACGCCATGCATGGAAACTACCTGTGCTATGCATTTTCTGATTCCAGAGGGAGCTGCTCGTCTGATAAATCTCCTCAAGCGATGCTACGTGACTCTACATAGGTTTCTACCGGCCTTTACGGTGCAGACTCTTTACCAATATGCCCACTTTGCCATGTCGGCCATGCGGAAATCTTTCATGAATATACATTTCAGCGCTGTCAGTATTATCTGTATCGTCCAATATGTAAAAATCAAAAGGTATGTACCTCTTCAGTTGCTGCAACCTTGTCTGATTGCAAGTCAGAAAAGGCCATGTACTCTTTGAGCTTATCCAGCTGTTCCCTCAGGGATACATCTGTTATCTGCCTGCCCAGTAGGAAGTGGTAACCCTCATCCGGCAGCACCAGAGGATGGTGGGTGTCGAAACTCTCCAGGATATCAGCTAAGGAAACAAAAGGTCGGAACTTGAGGATTACCGTATACACGATTGGTATTGGTTTCAGAGTATGGTACAGGGAGAGAAGAAGAGGGACCAGGATGTGGACCTCGCACCAGTTTGGTTTGCTGCGGCCCGGTCTTGAACAGATGGAGTCCAGGTGTGTCTGCAGATGCTGGGAGATGCTGGGCTGTAAAGACTCAACAAGTGGTTCAACTGGGCCGGACTCAAGGCAGGGTATTCAGACCGCAAGGACACCCATGAGGTCTGCACACACATATACACACATGTAGTTAGAATATCATGACATGCTGAATTACCTTGCCTCTATTCCTAAATTCTACCAGCATGACTTCATGACTACAGCGTGCCGTATCATCTTTTACCTTTTGCATGAGTGCATCGTTTAACTTTTTGTCTTGATTGTGCAATAGAACACACCTGTATAACAAATAACGTAGACATATTCTCAGGCTCATTCTATTAGTAAATGGGAATTGTGCATGCAAACATAAAATATTCCCATGAATAAATGTTTTATTCAGGACAACACTTTTTTTATAACTACATTACATTCTAGCAATAAAAAAACAAGTTTACCCAGACATTTAAAACATTTTTTTAAATGAAATCATTTTGGTTTTAACCATGTTTTAACAAACATAAGGCTTAGTTTAGTACACGCTACCAGTCTACCAGTTAATGCTAGGCCTATGCACTGTGCTGTCTTTTGTTTTGTTCAATATGTATTTTTTTAATTATTGTCTAGCCTCATTTGGACTCTGAGTCTCAAATAAACTTTATTTACAACACTCTTGATGAAAAAGTTTACTAATTCGTTTGCTTGACGATTAATGATGGCTGGGTTGCAACCATTATATAATAACTTGCAGTATATACAGTCTGAACTGATTAAACCACACATACACATTCATGGTCAAGCAGATTAACTGAGTTTTTAAAAACTATTTGACTCAATAAGTTACACAAGCATGTTTTCTTTTTCATAGTTTAAAATTGAGGTCTGTGTATGTTAACGGTTATATAATGTTCCACAGAAATACTCTAGAATTGAAAGGATATCATTTTTTGCCTACTCTGCAGAAATCACACCACCAAATCCTCAGCCTGCTATGTCTCTGGTGATTATTTATAGTTGGATAAACCCAACTCGGCTTAAGATGTTCTGTGTATGTGTGTGTGTGTGTGTGTGATCTCTACCTGCAGTAAATTCTTTCTCGGTGTGGCCAGCAGATTAATAGCTGACGAGAGCGTGTGTGTGTGCTCTGAGGCCAGTTCTCCCAGTCCAGCTGCGTGAGCCCAGTCCAGGAGCAAGTCAAGATTAGCCCGCATGCGTACCCCTCTGGCCCACTGGTAGAAACCGGGCTCAGATCCTGTGTACACATCGGCACAAAAATCACTTTAAAATCACCTCTTCCTTAATTTACTTGAGTTTCTCAGCTTTCTAGAGGAGAAAACTGCCCCCTGCCTTTTAGGATGATTAATAGCCAGTGATGGTTGTCTGCCTTCTCTGCTGGCCTAAGTAGAATCAAAAATGTATAGCTATTTTTTTTTGGACTCTTGTCAAACAGAAAGCTAGCTAGCAGATCTTAGTATTTAGTAAGAGTTCAGGATGCACTTTGTCTGTAAATATTAAACACCCTTTGGTAAGTGAATTGCTTTTGTGTTTTTCTATCTATCTGTGTTGTTTTAATTAAATAGTTAAAGTTTAAATGGCCTGTGCTTGTGTGTGTGCGCAGTGTTTTTGTGAGGCAGTTTTTACGGATTATTTTGTCGTGCTTTGTTGTAAACAAATGTGACTGGTTCTTGTGAGTTCCCTTGCCATTGAGTGAATTACATTGATTTAAATAATTGCATCGTTCTTTAAATACGCAGCATCTTGTCATGGTGTATTCATGTATCTGCAGTTAGTGTATTTATAGGTGTTGAGCTTCATGTAACATTTTATTTCACTTTAAATGTTATGAAATGTTTATACAAAATAAATAATAACTTTTAACATTGGCATCATAATGAGGTTAGTAGGTTATTCAACTCTAGTAAGACTGCCCAGGTTGAAAATGCACCGCCCACCACTGTAAATAGGTTAATGCAGATTGGACAGATTCCTCGGCTATTAGTAATATGTAGAGCTGCCACAACACAACAATGATCCAAGCAAAAACGAAAGGATTAGTCTGGAATTATTCAATGTAATAAGGGGACCACTTTGGCATGTCTCCTTTGGCAAGACACTTAACTAATTGTTTTAGTAGCAGTGACTACTTTGTGAATGGTATGAATGTTGGTTACTGATGGACAGGTGGAACCTTGTATGGTAGCTCCTGTCATCAGTGTATAAATAGATTGAATGGGCGAATGATGGCATGTAGTGTTAAAGAGCTTTGAGTGGTTAGACTACAAAAGAGATCTACAAGTAGAGTCCTTTTTATGATTTATTATTTATTATTCTTGTGTAGTTGAAAAATGAACCTATACTATGAACACTAAGAAGTAATGTGTGTCTAACCCAGTGAAATGTACATTTACTACCAATGTACATCTAATATAATGAAAAGGCAATATTTTTAACTATGTGTTAGTCCTACTTTCTATTGCACCAGATGTGTATTACTCCATGGCAAGTTTCACAAGAAACTACTATTTACTTCTGTTAGAGTACCATTATCAGAAAACTAAAGAGACCAGCTGTTTCAGGAAATTTACTGTGCCTTGAAAAGACTATTGTCTCGGGCAGCCTAAGTGCTACATCTACGTATCTATCCATTTGTCCATCCATCGGTCCAGCATCTACAGATCTACTTTGGAATATTCTAAATTACATTTACTGTAAATTACTGTGGATTACGTTTGACGTTTGACATGTTAGAAATGTGTTTAATCACAAAGACAAAAGTTAACATAGGGTGAGGTTTGGAATGAATAGACTGGTCAAACACAGGACTTTCACCAAGGGAACTGGTGTTCGTGACCTGTGTGAAACCAAAAGTAACATACTTATTTCAAGCCGAATCTTTTACTAAACCTACCCAAGTGGTTTTATTTCCTTGGGTAAAAAAACAACAAGATTTAACGTATCCGTGGTTTGCAGAAACCTTCAACTGCCACATTGTATTCTGGTGATGTGATTGAACCTAGAACCTACTGAAAAAGTTATATCACGAAGAATTATCTGCCAGAAAAACTTTTAGTTGAAGAATTTAGTTCCTACTTGGTACCTCTCTCCATGAGCAAGTTGAAGAGTGACGCGTTGATGAAGTAGAAGAGGTAGCCGACGAGCTGTGAGGAAATCTCTGGGGGGAGCTGACAGTCCCGCAGCAGTCTCCAGGTTTCGGTCAGAACATCCGCAAGATGCTGAATCTCACCGGGCACCCGGAGGCCGCTACCCGGGACCTGAACAATTCCGGCGGTGGCCACCAGGTCAGGACTCTCCCTAAACGGGTTGGAATCCAGAAGGGCTGGCAGGACAGGGTAGAGAATCTGGTGGGACAAATTGGGTTGGATAAAGGGAACATGAACGTGAGTGACTCGCTCTTCAATCTGGAATAGATTTGGAATAGATTTTCCAACCTCAAATGTACCCCAAGGTACATTTGAGGTTGGAAAAGTTAACATTGTGTGGTGGGTGTTCTGATCACTTAGTTAAATAAACCTTGAGACCCTCCTGAACAAGATTTCAGACCACCGATACTGTCTCTCTAGGTTTTTACCAATACCACGTAAATGATACAAGAATAAAGGAATGAGAGAAACCGTTTGAAACATTTCCTTTTTCAGACCTAGGTCCTCGCTGCTTCTTCAGAGCAGGCCGAGACAACGCCAGCTTTGTTCGGTTTAATTGTAGACAGACATCCCCTCCAATCTCACTCTTACACCCGCCGAGCTTCCGAAGCCAGAGTCTGCCATAGATCCACATTCCTAAAAAACCTGAATATGGCTCATGTGGCCTTGGCATGCTGCTGTAACAGAACTGCTGCTGAGTGAAGACTTCTGAAGGAATCCACCCTAAGCAGATCGTTTTACATTTATTGTAAGGCCCCTGTGAGCCGGAGCAAGCCGAACATGAACAGCAGAACACGACAGCCACGGCTCCTGTCACACACGAGCTAGTGGAAAAAAACTTATTAAGCTCAATCATCTCAGTGTTTCTGGTTGGAAAAGGTCACTGAGTGTAGCCAAGCCAGAGAGATTCACTCAATTTGGGACCACCATATGGCACGCATTGTTTCAAACAAAACGCACATGCCAGGTTGCCTGCTTTCCCCACCGGGGAAAGGAAGGCACGGGAGAGTCAGAACCAGAACTGCAATGGTCAAATGAGATGAGCCATCGCTTCTGTTACTGTGAATAGGCCAGTCTTATTATTACTATTCTAGTGAGTTTTTGGTTTTTACACACACAACCACACGTCTTAACTATGAATTTGTCTGAAACTTCCCCAGCACGCTTCCATGTAATCTAATGGGTGTGGTGCTTCGAAACAGCACACAACTGAATTGGGACATTTAAATGATCTTCATTTCCAAGTAACACCATCTGAGAATAGAGTTCACAAGTTTACACAATCAGACACGGTAGGCCTGTGAGCCTCTTCTTAGAGCATAAACTATTTTTTATTAATTGGGGGGGGAAGTGTTTAGGAGGGCTTTGACCACTTCACAATAAAACAGAGGTGTGGGCAGTTTATTCTTGGTATCATTGGGCAAAAAACTGGTATAATAACTTTTTGGGGCATAACGTAATTACAGTTCTCTCAGAGGAAATTTGATTTCTTACTGAGATGGTCTAAGCCCAATTTAATTTTTGAATATATACCCTGCAGGAAAAAAGGAAAACACAGGGCCGAGGAAATATAAATCAGATTGTATAGAAGTCAATGAAAAAAAGATTTAACGTGTCGCTTGATTCATTACCTCAGCAAACATTGTAAACATGAGTTTATGATGACGTCACTATGACTACGTCCACTTTCTAAATACAGTGTATAGTCCTAAGCCCCTCCCACCAAACAAACTTCTGACAGTAACCTGTACAAGTCCTAGTCATTCGTTTCAAACCTCGTCCTTTGTCTCCCGAGACTCGAGACAGCTTCCAAATTTCTGCCCTGTGGAGCTTTGACTGGCTGAGTAACTGTTCCTATTTACTTGTGTCGTTGAGTATTTCATACGGCGTCCACATGTCTCGCTTGGAGATCCCTGGTTTGGTTCTTTCCTCTTCCTCTAACACACACACAAACAAAGAGCCCTTGGTATCCTATCTCTCTCCCATGTCAGAATGCCACAAGTGAGGTCTGGAAGGGTGGCTTGTTGGTCAGTGAGCTATCAGAGACTAACAGGGCTCTTTATCCTCTTTTTTGATTATTTTCCTTTTTCTTAATTGTTACATCATAATCATCTGCAACAGGAACGAACAGAGCATGCCACACAATACTTCTTTTACTTCCTCTCCAAGAAAAGTTCCTTGTTGCTGGGGTTAAACTTCACATGTGAGACACTGGAGAACTGTCTAAGAACAGATATGGCACGTCTATTTTAATTCTGTGAATGCTTTTGCAATGTGCTTGGTCTCACCACTCTCACCTTGGTGATGTAGTACACACACTGCTGGAAGGCGAGCATGATGACGTCCTCCAGGACAGCCATCGTCTCCTCACTGGCAGTACGGACAGAGGACAGACGCAACGCCAACAGGGCTGGAAATCACATGCATTATTAGAGGATACAGTGTTGTAGCTCAGAGCTCCAGTGAAATGTTGAATGTGTATTTTCGTGTTATATGGGCAACTCTTTGTCCTCAAGATAAATATTGGACATTTTATTGCCCAGAAGTATTTAAATATGTCCATAAACATCTTTGATGTAATGAAGATGAAAAATAAACTGTTCCAGTGAGTAGACAGTAGAGTAGAACATTTTTGTATGGATTTCTTAACTTTCAACCAGCTCTATCTTGCAGGGAAAGGTGTTTGAGACCAACCCATGCTTCTGATTTGATTTTCTAACATTTTGCTTCAAACTAGGACACTAGTACTGCTTTGATTTCTCACATGGTTACATTATCATTGTATCAAATTCCTAGCTTAATATGTGACTAACCCAAGTTCTCCCTCCCCTTGTTCTGGTCATTTTCCATTCCTCCCTCCTCTACTTCCTGTCCTTTCTCTTTGCGGGTTCTCCACTTCAGAATAAGAGGCAGCTGGCACTGGATGAACTGCAGAAGCTCCAGACTGTTCGACATCCACACCGCCAGGGGGCGCAGTCCCAATATCGCCTCGGGCTGGCCGAGAGCCTGGAGGTCCTCTGGGTTTGAGCCTTCACTGCTGAGGGGGAGAAGATCAGTATTAGCTTGTGACCTGTGACACAAGTGACTGCTGAAGACCAACACTAAGGGGCGCTTACACTTCAGATTGAACCACAGCTAGGCACTTCGTGTCCTCCTGTGTGACAAAAAAACAATGAAATGAGGGCATGAACATGTAACATCATAGTGACAAACTTCATTTACACAGCATGTGATGACAAAAACAATAAGCAAGAAAGGCATAAAATGCTAAATGGTTTTTTTGTGGATTTGGTGATGTGACGCACACAAAATGTATGGTCACATTTGTATTTAATTTGGAATGAAGAGCATTTCTTCATTGTGTGTGGTGCTATCTATGCCCAGTAGGTGACAGTGCAGCACTGTTGTTTTGCCCCGCCGCCCTAACTCTGTATTTGCGCGTGCAGCGTCTCATTGCTTGAGAAGACGCTGACAAAAGAAGCCACACGTCTACCTGTGTCATTAATTTCTATTTTTCTCAGGCACAAGTCTGTCATCAGGCTCTCTCATCCTGAGACCTGTAACAGATCTTTGTGGCCTCGTCCGGGATCGGCAGTGCTACGGGGGTCTGACAACTGCTAATCCAGTGATCCATGAACCGTGGGCCAGAGTTGAAAGAAAGGACTACACAGCCTGACAACCAAAGAGATCTTCCGGCTCATTATTAATGTTAGAAGATGAGGGGATTTCATGGCTATTGGACCTGAAAGATAAAGTGGATGAGATCATTGAGGACCAAAGCAAGAGTCCAGAGACTCAACAGTTAAATGGTAAATGGCCTGTACTTGTATAGCGCTTTTTTAGTCTTCTGACCACTCAAAGCGCTTGAACACTACATGACATCATTCACCCATTCTCACCCATTCATACACTGATGACAGGAGAACCATACACTGCCATCAGTAACTACCATTCACACACTGTAGTCGCAGCTACAGGAGCAATGTTGGGTTAAGTGTCTTGCCCAAGGACACAACGACATGCGGGTTAGCCAGGCCTGGGATCGAACCGACAACCCTCTGATTGGAGGACGACCTGCTCCCCACTGACCCACAGTCGCCCACAGTCAAATGTTGAGGCTAACATCCCAACATTACAGGTCATTTAGCAGACACTTTTATCCAAGCGACTTACATTACACTTTAAACCCATGGCTTTTTCACATTTTGCCCGGGGAGCAATTAGGGGTTAGGTGTCTTGCTCAGGGACACTTCAACATGGAACATGGGGCAGCCTGGACTCGAACCACCAACCTTGTGCTTCCCAGCACACCTTCTCTAACCCCTGCGCCACAACGACCCCAACCACAATGCATTCATTGTCCTGACAGAGCTACTGCTAATAACTATTCTGGATTAAGCGTAAATGAAGTGGCAACAGCCGACACTGACACACGTAGTACACACATACCAACTGATCCAGCCAGTTCCTGATGGAGACCCATGAACCTGATATGCAGAAGTTACTGTCCAGCTATGATGAGATTTATAACAAACTCCTCCAGTTAAATGTCCCACTTAACACACACACACTGCAGGCAAGCAAGTGCATAGTTTGAGGGACTGTAACCAGTCTGGAAGCCAAAACACAGTCCACCCACTCCTACCTAACTCCACCACAGAGAAACAGCCGACCCAAACCTGTAGGCTACACATTGACCACTTCCCTCACTACACGCCTCAGTTCAGAACGGAGCAGCCCACTCATGCAGGGGAAACCATGATAGCCTTAAGGGATCTCCCGCTGCTACAACGTAGGGAATTTAAAATACATGGAGGGCAGATTGGGGACACTGCATCAGACATGAGCTATAACAGCATCTGCAAACAAGTGGACGAGGGACTGAGGGAGTGATACACAGAGAATGAGATGATCAGAGGAGTCCTGCGGGTAATCAAATCTGGCAACTTCAGAGATATGCTCACAAACAAAGAAGAAATGACTGTCACAGAGCTGAAACGTTTCCTCCAATCTCATCTTGGTGAGAGGGGCAGCACAGAGCTATTTCAAGAACTGATGTGTGCAAAGCAGCATGAACATGAGACACCTCAGCAGTTCTTATATAGGACAAATGGGCTAAAGCAGAAGATAATGTTCACATCCGGGCAATCTAACTCTGTAGTTAAGTATGATGCATCCACAGTAGTGTGTGTTCTTTAACACCATCTACCAAGGTCTTGGTGAGAAACATGAGGATGTGAGGCGAGAGCTGAAACCTCTTTGTCACGGTGTGGTTCGCTTCATGTTATATTTTGTAGTTTTCTGCCACTCGTGTCCCCGGGTAACTTCACTTCCTGCCTTGTCATGTCATCCCCTGTGATCGTCTAATAGTTTCCACCTGTGTCCAATCACCTGCACCTCCCTAGTGTATTTAAGCCATGTGTGTCTGTTGTCACTGGTCGCGTCATTGTCTTTTGCCACGCAAGTCCTTGTCTTTCGTCGTGGACGTGCGTAGTTCCTGTCTCCCGTTTTTCCCCTGGTTCCTGTGTGTTTTTGCCCCTTGGCCTTTTGCTTTAACCTTTTTGACAATTAAAGTCCCTTTTGTTTTGCACTCTGCGTCTGAGTCCTACCTCCCGCAATCCCTGACACTCTTCTGTCTGACTCCAACGTGTCTGATGAATCCCTGCTGAGGCAAGTAATCAGAACAACCAATGAAGAAAGTGAAAGGAGGCGCAGACTCCATCCGTAAAGTGACACAGGCCCACAGTACTCATGCCAAACCGGAAAAGACAAATGGAGACGATAAGAGTACTGAAACTGAAAGTAAAGACAATTCTGAGACTCAGGTTGATGCCTTAAACCAGACCATAGATTCCTTGAAACAACTTAGAACACAAACTCGGGCATCTGAACAGGCATACTGCCCTGTGTATAAGCAGCCCACTGATAAAGCTATGTTATAGAGAAGAAGACCCTTTGGATATCCTCAGAGAAAGGTCTACCTAACTGTAGCCAATGTTTCGCTTGTGGAGGTGAAGGTCACCGTGCTGTCATGGAAGAGGGACGATCTGTGACCGCATTCAAGACCAAGTCCCATTGCAGTGATGTTCCGCTGTCTGAAACTGTCGATGTCAGTTTAGCCACTTCGCCCCAGCTGTCCAAAGAAACACAGCCAGTCACAGACAAAGTAGCTCCACTCATAGGACGCAGATCCCTGCTAAGATGCAGCCTGGCTGGCTATGCTGTCACTGTTCTCACTGTCACTGGAGAAAATGTGAGTATCCTTGATCGTGCCTGGAAAGAGAAATATTTGCCCTCTCAAGTTATTCGACGCCTCAGTGAGCTCATTGACAAGGAACTGGGTGTGTTAGCCATCACAGGAGATGAAGTACCCTACGACGGATGGGTTGAGGTAATAGTTAACCTACAAGGAAATGACGACCCAGACCTGTCTATTCGAGTACCATTCCTAGTAAGTCGTTTAAAGATAGAAAGGCCATTGATAGGATTTAATGTAATTCAAGAGCTGATCATGGGGCAACAAAGTCGACCCGAGGTCCGCTCTATCCTCACCAATTTCCTTGTTGGAGCTATGGAAATTGACCGTGTCAAAGCTGAAGCAATAGTAAGTTTTGTGCAGACTCAAAAACTAGAGCAAGAAAATACTACTGTGAAGGTTGGTCTGAAAGGGGCTTTCATCCGCCCTGGAGAAGTTGCCTATGTCAAATGTCAAGTCCCTGACAATTTTGATTCTTCTGACTCATTGGTGTTATTTAAACCCAAATTCAACAGCTTACCATTAGAGAGACTAGACATAGGTGTGGGACTTGTGAAAATTCGTCAGTCAGACAGGCCCTATGTTGAAGTGCCTATAGGGAACCCCCCAGAGCAGGATGTGATACTGTACGGCAAGACTGTTATTGGCAGTATTGAGCTTGTGGAAAGAATAACAGAAGTAGCAGAGTCAGAGAGTCACAGGAAACAGGAAAACCTAGTACATCTTGCTGACTCTGCACTAGCTACTCAGATAAACAATGGCGAGCCAAACCCCACTTTGGCACCCTCCTGTCGACATAAGCCACCTCACAGAGGAACAACAGAAAAAAGTCAACCAGATGCTGTATGAAGAATCTGGAGCTTTTGCTCGGGATGATGACGACATTGGATGCATTCCTAGTCTCCAAATGAGCATCAACCTTAAGGATGATATTCCTGTCCAGCGAACCTGTACATCTATTCTCAAGCCACTCTACAAGGAGGTCAAGGAATATGTACAGGTTCTGCTTGCTAAGGGATGGATAATAAAGTCAAAATCCCCATTTGCTGCTCCAGTCGTCTGTGTCCGAAAGAAGGATGGAACACTCCTGTGCATTGACTACAGACTACTCAATAAAGAGACTGTGCCGACCGACACCCCTTACTAGCATTCAAGACCTAATTAACACCCTTGGAGGTCACAGCTGGTTCACCATTCTGGACCAAGTAAAAGCCTCCCACCAGGGCTACATCGCTGAGGGGTCTCGTCAGATGACAGCGTTTGTCACACCATCTGGTCTATATGAATGGATGAGGATCCCATTTGGCCTCTCTAATGCTCCAGCTGCCTTTGAGAGAAGCATCTCATTAAGGTCCCCAGTCCAGTGGACAATAGAACATCAAGGTATCCTCCACCAGCTCATTGACACACTTACCAGCCCACGTGTAGTAGCATACCCTGACTTTGACCTGCCCTTTACCGTGCACACTGATGCCTCAGAACAAGGGTTAGGTGCAGTGCTTTACCAGCACCAGGAAGGAAGACTGAGTCATCGCCTATGGTTCAAGGACTTTGTCTCCGGCCGAGAAGAACTACAGGTCTCACTCTGGAAAGCTTGAGTTCCTCGCCTTGAAATGGGCTGTTTGTGAGAAATTCAGGGACTATTTGTTTTATGCACCCCACTTCACCATCTACACAGACAATAACCCACTAACATATGTCATAGGCATATCCAAACTGAATGCTGTTGGTCACCGATGGGTAGGTGAACTTGCAGACTTCCGATTTGATATCAGGTACCGACCAGGGAAGAGCAATGTTGACGGTAGACACACTGGATATTGACAGGTATGTGGTGGAATGCAGCGAAGAATTGTCCAAGGAAACTGTATTCGCAACGTGGGAAGGTAGTCAGGCAGCAGAGAAACAAGACATTGCTTATGTGGCAGCTCTAAATTTTGCGCATGACCCAGAACCTCATGACGTAGGACATCTGCCTACTATTAACCATAATGAACTGGTCAAGGCTCAAAGAGAAGACCCATCAATTGGGGCACTAATAAGACTGAAGGAAACAAAGGGAGTCTTGTCAAATGAAGATCGGCGAGGATCGACAGGTACGCTGTGAAAACTTATGCATGAATGGGGGAAACTCCACGTCAAGAACCAACTGCTGTACGGGCAGACAAAGCAGCGACAACAACTCGTCGTCCCAACAAACTACCACACAGTGGCTCTTAAGCACCTCCATAATGACATGGGTCACGTAGGAACAGAGCGAGTTCTTACTTTGGCGAGAGATAGGTTCTATTGGCCCTTTGTGAAAAGAGACATTGAAGCTCATGTGACCATAAGATGTCCCTGTATCAAAAAGAAGAAACCTGTCGTTCACATCAGAGCACCAATGGGAAGTATCACCAGCACTTCACCACTGGAACTGGTCTCCATCGACTACATGAATTTAGAGAGAAGCAAGGGTGGTTATGAATACATCTTGGTTGTAATAGACCATTTCACCAGAGCGTATCCAACGAGAAACAAGTCTGGAAGAACAGCTGCAGAAAGAATTTTCAACGACTTCATTCCTCGTTTTGGATACCCAGCCAAGCTTCACCATGACCAGGGCAGAGAGTTTTAAAATTAACTATTCAAAACTCTACAACAACTAACCGGACTAAGCCACGACAGGACAACGCGGTACCATCCTCAAGGTAATCCAGCAGAACGTCTAAACCGAACCCTGCTTCAGATGCTGAGAACCCTTGAAGAGAAAGCGAAGAGCAATTAAAAAGAACATCTACCACAGTTTGTGCATGCGTACAATTGCACCAAACATGAAGCCACGCGGTTTTCCTGTTTTACCTATTATTCGGGCCGTCCACAGAAGAGGAAAGCGATTCACCCAGAGGTTATGCAGAGAAATAGGCTTCTCTCATCCGTTTTGCCTATCGAGTTGCCTCCCAGAGTAGTCAACAATCAAGCGCTAGAGGCAAGAGGTATTATGATTGGCACCTGAAAGGAGTTGTCCTCCAGCCTGGTGACAAGGTCTTGGTCCGGAACCTGGGTGAAAGAGGTAGTCCAGGGAAGTTACGGTCTTATTGGGAACAAACTGTATGTCGTTCGGGAACAAGTGAATGACAACCCCGTCTACAAGGTGGCCCCAGAGACTAGTTGAAACAGAGTACGGACTCTTCACAGAAACCTCCTGCATGTTGTAAACGATTTACCTGTTGACCTAGCCCTATAGACAAGACCACACAACTCACGGAGTGAAGAGTGCAAAACAGACCTGAGAGTACACAAAATCAGAGGGAGCTATCTCAGAAGAGTGATTCTTCAGACACGGACGAGGATACTCCGAGGATTCAGTACTGGTTGAGGGTCCCAAGACAAACAGAAATTGAAATGAGAGTGGTGAGACCTACTTCTCAACCTTGGGAAAATGCAGCTCACATTCCAACTTCAGAACTGCCTGAAAAACCCAGAGTCACCTTACCGACAAAGGAAGCTAGCAGAAAAGCAAGACCTGCGAGAGATGACAGATGAGAAAACCCTGATGTCTTCATACCTGAAAGGGAATTGAGACAGGATGTACCAGAAGTGCAAAACAATGAATATCTTATACTCGTAGACCAAGCGCAACTGGGAGAGTATGAGCATGAGGGAACTAGGCCCAGTACAGATGAATATGATGGATCTGTCCTCTCTGGAGCTGTTGACCAAGAGAGTGAACAAGTCAGGAGGTCCACACGAGACAGAAAGCCAACATGGATATTGACATATGAGTCCTTGGGTCAGCCATCATACTACCCACACAGCTCCGTAAACAGTGTATGGGGACAGCCAATGCCGGTTTGGGGAATGCCGCCATATCTCATGTCACAACAGGAACATTGTCCAACATTTTACCAGGTATCTTACCAAATACCTCATCAGGCAGTGACATACCAGGCCATGCCTTACACACCAGTTGTGCCTTATTCAGTTCCTGTTCACATGCACTGAGAACACACACACACACACACACACACACACACACACTTTGATCTATTTGAAACACAGTAAATATACATAAACTATGCAGACACTACAGTATGTTAAATTGATTGTAAGAATCCAAAGGTTATATGGTAGTGTTTGAATACATTTTCTTTTGTGATGTATGGAGCCAATTTTATTTTGTCCGGGAGCGTGTGATGTACACAAAATGTATTTAATTTGGATTAATTTGGAATGAAGAACATTTCTTCATTGTGTGTGGTGCTATCTATGGCCAGTAGGTGGCAGCGCTGTGGTTTTGCCCCGCCGCCCTAACTCTGTATTTGCACGTGTAGCGTCTCATTGCTTGAGAAGACGCTGACAGAAGAAGCCACACGTCTGCCTGTGTCATTAATTTCTATTTTTTTCAGGCACAAGTCTGTCATCAGGCTCTCTCATCCTGAGACCTGTAACAGTTACACAAGGAGGCCCCAAAGTCAGGGCATGTCTGTAATGAGCGATTGCCTCCAAACAGCTCTCAACATGGCAAAGGCTGAGCTAGCAGCTGGCGACATACAGCGCTAACAGTGTAAACAACTGTGCTGACAGATGTTAACCTGAGGGGGAACCATAGAGTGTGTATAAGAATTGGATGTTGTCATTGTGGCTGCCCTTTTAAGGCCCTCAAGTGCAGCGATTTTTTAAGTTTGGAGTTTTAAAAAACTTCCACATTTGCTTCACTCTGCAGAATCATTGCGCTTCCACAGTGACATCTTGGTATTAGATGGCGTCATCCCCTATACCTGCCGTTTGCTCACACTGCAATTAGGTGGCATGAGCTAGCTAGTGGTGGCACTGACACTCTGCTCACATGTACTGTATGTGCTAAAAGGCATGCTTGACTGAACTGGCTACATAAACACCGCAAGGAAGCTTGGAATACAACACACTCAGCTGGAGAGTGACATTATTCTCCACTCAGCGGGACACAACACTACCACATCTTAGAAGAAGTGGCGCTGCTCTAACTGAAGACAAAATGCAATTTTTACCCCGTACTTATGTGCAAAGAACTTTATAGGTATTATGTACTCCCTTTTTAGACAGCGATGGTTATTTGTGAATAAAAAATTCATTCCAAATTACTCCTAGGGATCAGACCCTAGGATGATCCCTAGGAGTATTCCGTAGGATTATCCCCACAACTCACCCACACGGCACTCTGAACTCTGTTTGCAATGAGCAACAGCAGCCTGCGCAGGTCGGAGCTGTGAAGACATGTAGAAGAATATTGCATGCACCGGCACAACAAAAATGCGACAGTCAGAGGTGGTCCGTCTTTCTCGCTGGTTCTTCCCATAGCAACTATCTCTTTGACAATGCGCTCCTCATCTTTGCTCTCATACACCAGAGTCGGGATGTGGCACTCAGGGGATTTTAAAAAGGAAAGGCGTCTGTTTCGGGTTTTCTGGGGGTCTCTGGAGCCTGTGATGCAAGTGTTGCAGAGCACTGTTCTTTTGATATGGCTCGTTGTAGTGGCAGAAGAAGTTTGACCCAGTAACCAGGGGACAGCAGTCATGCCAGACTGAGGAGCAGCATTATCCTCTTCCTTCAATTTCAAGAAAGACATAAGAATCATGAGGATTGATTCAAACAAAGATCTTAACAGACAGAAAAGAAGACAGTGAATATGTTGCACATGTTACAGTCGGCCTGTCTCTTTTGCGTCCCACTCTCACCTTGTGTGCCGAGGCCAAGGGATCCTTGAACAGAAACAGGTAGCTCTGTCCCATACCAATGATGTCTCCAGGCATAAGCTGCACTTCTTTTCTCAGAGCTTCGCCATTCCTGGTGAGAGTGGCGTTCGGAGAGGGCCGGAGCACAGTGGGGCCACCGACACAATGGCGTTGGAAATGGCAGTGCCGAGGAAGAATGTCCGGGGCAAAGAGAAGGGTGTCCGGCTTTGTGCAGTTGTCATGGTCGCTTTGCCGACCAAATGCAATGTTTGGCCCAATGAGTAGGTAGATGACAAAGTCCTGAGTGCAGAAAAAGATGAAAAATATGCCGCACTCTCTGCAAAAATCATGTGAATCTTCTATTATTTTGATTTGTGTCTCAACTCATTTTTGTACAAATTTAAACTTATTTATTATTTTCTATTGATGTGTTCCCAGCAGGTGCCCTTCTTTTCTTTAGTGTTTGATCAGAAGTACTTATACCAACCAACCGGCTTAGCTCACAATTCCCTCTTCTTTTAGATATGCTCTATTACGTTACGTAAAAGTCTCTCTGAAGATATGCAGAGGTATCAAGCTAGTTGATTCAGGCCTGATTAGAGACAGTCTTTAATTAATCATTGCGATGAGATTGCTAAACAAGCATAATTTGCAGAGATTTTTATGTTTCACATTCCCACTTTGTCTTTTCCAACAGGACATCTTTAACCAGCTGAATTAATTCACAAATAAACTCCCTAAACATGGATAAGTGTTTCTCTATGATAGATGATTATATTCTTACGACGGGTCTTTTGGGGGAAAAAACTATGACGTAGAGCCTCTGCATACCTGCATGTATGTGGCAGTTGCTTGCTGTTAACACCATGTGTAATCAGCCAGGAAGCAGTGCCAGGTATATCTTTTTCTGTTTCCTGACTTTTTTTCTATCTACTGATCGCTGACCTATCCTATAATGATTTTCCCTCTGCATCTCACTTTATGCTGAGAAAACATGCTGTTAGACATTTTACAGTGAGCGTGGGGCATTTTGCATTATTAGTTCAAATAATCAATATAAATGTGCACATGTCAACAACAAGTAAACTTTTAGCTTCTATTGAAAGACAGTCAATCATATGCAGTTGATGGGCTGAGAAAATGGCTGGAGACCATTTATTTTATAAGCTGTAACCCAGTTAGCTTCAATTTAAGTTACCCCTAATAATTGGTTAATAAAGCTATCTCCTGATTTCTTACTTACTTCCCAATAAAGATCAGGAGCTGTTAATGTTAACTTTCTCTGGTAGCAAAAAGGACAAAACGGTAGAAAAAAAAACCTAACTTATGGTTATACCATTCCCTAGTAATGCTAGGTTTTAGGTAAGCTACTTAGCCGAATATGCTAACGATTGCGGCTTACGAGCAGATAAAAACCCATTCCTTATCACAGTTTTTACTTGTATTTTTGGTTTGGAAAAGGCTCTAACCTCTTTAAATGCCACAATACCCTCGTGGGAGAGGGATTTTAACAGTCAATAGGGAATGGGAATTGCAGAGTATTTTGGGGTGGCGCCACTATCTTCAGAGAATAACCTGCTTGGCTATGCCATCCGTCAGAGGGAGGTGACAGGGAGGACATGTTCTTTGTAAACCAACCAAACCAAGTTTGCAACTTTTGTTAAGATAGACAATCTTCACAAATGAACACCAGTTTTGGGATCATTAAAAGTAAAAAGGAAACTCATCTGTCAATTTTTCATCATCAGATGTATGAAAGGCAAATTCTCTAACATCTCAACAAAGGGAAAGAGCTAGATATTGCTAGATATTGCATGTTAGTTAATGACGTTGACCCTTACAAATTAGCCTTCAAAGCCCCCAGTCAAGTCACTGGGGTTGGCGCCTATCTGGTGTTTTGCGTTAGCACCTACACCTCGCCTGCGATCAATAAAACCAAATGAGAATAAGACTAATGAATTAACCTGGAGTTTCAATCGTAAGCCGAAGAGAAGCTCAGAACTTTGTGACAGTGTGACTTTTACTGCCGGAACCGAAATAGCTGAATGACCGAAATAGCTCTTTTCCAACACTGTTGTGTATCTGAATGAGATACCTGTGCCGGGCTGAAGGCCTGCAGCGACAGCAAGTACGGACAGTCGTGGGGAGGGTGAATGGAGTACAGTATGGTGTTATCGTTGCTGCTCTCCGTCGCCTCCCTCTCCGACTCCTCCGACTCCTCTCCTTCCCGCTCGTCCCTCAGCGTCGGCGGACAGAGGCCCTCTGTTTTGGGCTGCGACCCGCTGTTCCCCTCAGAAAAGACTGCTGGGCTCTGAATGCAATTCTGTTCCGGCCTCTCGGAGCTCTGGAGCGAAGTTTGATTCAGACTCTTGCTTCGATCCTTGCAGCATTCATCACGACCGCTTTCCTGTTTTGTCCCTGTGTCGAAATCTAAGAGGTCCATCTCGCTTTTTCTCCTCCACAGTTTGTGGCCTCGTTTCGAAGTATTCTCTATAAGAGTGGAGGTCACTCTGGAGCGACTCTTCTGTAGCTTTCGAGCCTGGGCGTTGATACCTGAAGGAGAGATAAATGAAAAAATAAAACCGTTTGGTTGAACCAGCACAAAAGTGTGCAAATTCAGTTGCTGTATAAATACAATAAGCAGATGAGTACTGCCATAGTGATAGGGCAACACATGTTTTTTTTTCTACTAATAAGCTGAGGGGTGTGTGAGAGCCAGTGCGTGTTGGGCCACTTTTATGTCCCGTGTTCATTCCAGAGTCAACACGGAGAAGCCCCGCACAAACAGACCTCATGGAAAGAAAGACAGAGCTCATGGAAATGACATAAAACGTTCCCCCACTCAGCAGGCGTCCACAAGCTGACACTGATAGAGAGCTATCACAAGCCACGGCATTCATCAAAGCAAAACACAAAACAGGACGCACTGTTACACCGTGGCCACAGCTGTGTCAACCACAGGCGGGGGACCTTCTGTAGAGATGATAGTGAGCGGTTCGCCCTGCTCATTTACGCACAGTGCTCTGGTGTCCAGTGTGTACGGAAAGTACTATTCTGCTGTATTGAGCTTTGGAAATATCAGTGGATACTATAATTTGCCGTGGAGATTCTAAAACGTTATATTAAAACTGAAGTGTGTCATCAGAGGAATGGGCTTATTTGACCTTGATCGTCCAAAATATTCTATGTATTTTCTAATAGCTGTAGGAATCAAATCAAAGCCAAAATTTGCAGGAAATTATAACATAACATAACTATAACAAGTTGTGAAGCTATTAAAATATGGTTTGGTCTTTGTGGCTTGGCAGATTGTCACTAGAAAAACCATGTGCCAAACAAACCATATTTTATAACTATAACTTTTATAACTATAAAACTGGATGTAACACTGGAAATACTAAATGTAATGTTACATGCTATTATTCCAAGCACACACCCTGAATTAGGACGAGACGGTTCCGCTGTAAAATGATGATCGAACCCCATACCCGCAGTAACTGTGTCTTTGTCGTTGGAAGTCTTCTCCTCTATCAAGCTCCTCCTCTGGATTTCAAACCGCCTTGCCAGACCCTTTTTGGGTTTCCATAGCGACTGCAGGATGAGGGGCTTCTCGTTGTCGCTCACGACTCGGAACCCTTCCGTCCTCCACCGATGGTCTCTGGTGGAGCCAATGGTGTCGCACATAACATAGGACTCTGCCTCCTCCTTATCCAGGCCATACCTATGTCATTGGGGGAAAAAATAGGATAACAAAACTAATGCAAGATAATGCATTTTAAATTGTATTCAATCCGGATTCTTGCATTGTTAAGCAAAATTAAACAATTTCTATATGTACGATTTGAAAACTCTATCAATAATCTTTGGTGCTTCTCATTCATACCACCAAAAGCATCCACCCCTGTGATGATGGACTGAGTCACCAGATGTAGGCAAGGTAAGAAAGTAAATAGAATACAACATCATGTTAGGGACCCGGTTTTATTAACAGTTTTTCCCCCAGTCTGTGCTTTTGTTTTTGCTTGTTTTTTTTTTCCACCTATAGTTTCCACCTGTGAGTTCCGCCTCCGGCCCCACCCCTCTCCCACGTGCCCAGCTGTGGCTCATTCCGGGGATCACTGGTGACGAGCATAAAGGCTCCTGCTTTCAGAGGCTCGTCGTCGTCGTCAGTCCGTCCCAGTACCCAGGCTGGTCTCAGGTGCCGTTGATACTGAGATACAGCAGCTAAACCAGTTTATTCATGTTTTTGGTTTGTTTTTGTGTCAGACCCACGGAGTGCACGTAACCTGCTTTTGAGTTGGACTGTGAGTATGGTGTCGGGCCTCGGGTTTCCACACCAGACCCTGCTTGAGCCACCCCAGACCGCCAGACGTCGGTGGAGTTTCCCTCCCTACTCCAGTTGAGCCAGAGGAGCGCTTTCTGTTTCCCGTATTCCCCTTGTTTGTTTTTTTGTGAAAAAATAAAAGTCATTTTGGCTGAAAATCCAAGACTGCTGTGCGTGTGCTTTTGGGTCCACCAAATTCACCTCACCCCCCCTAACACATCATCTGCATTGTAATTTTTTAAGCAGCGAGTACATGACAGTTCAACACATGGGGGCTACAAAGTAAGATTGTCATTCTAAAAGAAAACCCTTTGCTTAATTCAGTAGACTTGGCCAACAGTCTCAGTTTGTCTGGTATGGCTTACATCTAATGTTTACTAATGTTGCTATGTGACTGATTTGTGTGTCGCCATAAGATGTCTTTTCTATAGCCTACTTGTGTTTTACATGCTAGCATTTAGCTTCACTCCATAGTTGTCACTAGTGCTGTGGCTCAGTTAAAGTTACATAAATTTGCTTTAAACCTTTATGTGATTTTTGGTCACTAGGCGGCAAAGCAACAAGCTGAACACACAATATTGACATATTATCACCAAGTTGATCCTTTGAAGGTATTACCAAACAATTTTCTTTGCACATCGAGCAGACATGCACCACGCAAATGTTGCATGTCACTCTACCTTAAGCTCTAGTTTGGCCTTCACTAACTTAAAGGTAATGTTGACTCTTTAGCGGTTATATACTTTACTAGAGTCAGGCAACAGTCTGTGGATTCAACACTACATGCAACTCCGCTCACTCATCTAAATCTAACCGTTTCAATTAGATAACAACTTTAATGAGAAGTACTTCACTATACAAATATGCTGACTGATCTTTTTTTCAGTTTCCCTGAACTAATCATTATCATAAGATTACCATGGCTAATCCATTGGACCATGGCATAAACCACAGAAATGAATTCATCAAGAGTTTTAACAGAGCCAGAGGGCTAAACCTATTTGCTAACTCATTACTGAATAAAAAATCTAATACCGATGCAGCTAAATGTCACCGGAGGGAAAGGAAAACCTATTTACTCTTTCATCTTCGGGCTGAATGCCTTACGTTTTAATTAGTGGTGGGCCGTTATCGGCGGTAACGTGCTGCGTTACAGTGAGACTCTTATCCGCGATAAAGAAAAAATAGCGCAGATAATCTATTCTCAAAGTTGGGTTGGGAGCTGGGTCTATACTACGCAAGCTATGATGATTTACACCTTGATATTCTAGCGCGGATGTATACCTACGAGCACGGATGTTTACCTAGCCAAATTGCACTGTAGGGGGCGAGAACGAGACGTGCTAGCATGGATGCAGCTACGAAGTCACCGGGTTTGCTTCAGGGAAAATTTATTTTTGAGAAGCTTCCCAATGGAAGCCTCGACAAGACGAAGGTTGTTTGCACCTTGTGCAAACAGGAATTAGTTTACTGTAGAAGTTCTTCATGTCTCAAATACCACGCATCGCTTAGCTAACGCGGAAGATGCCGGGCCAAGCACTGATGTAGCGCAGGGGAAGAGTCGTCGTCAAACTACTATGTTTGAGTGCAACTGAGGCAAGCCCGTCAGCACAGCTTTATCGGCTAAGCTAACGAATCTCCTCGCTCAGTGGATTGCCACCAGCTGCCGGCCCATCAGCGTGGTAGAAGATGACGGGCTCGAGCTTGTTCTTCAGGCGGCCACAGGTGATCCATCTTACAAACTACCTGCTAGGCGAACTATCATGAGGAGAATACATGACCAGCACGCTGCAGAGAAAGCCGCAAAAGATGGTAGAGGCGAGGTGTGTAGCACTGACTGGGGACCATTGGACATCTGTCAACAACGATAACTACCTCGGCGTTACTGTACACCTTATCGATGCCATTTGGGAACTTCACTCCTTCGCTTTAGGTAAGCTACATTATGTAATTTTGAATTACATCATTCTGATCTACTTTGTCTGTCCATTAGGAGTCATGAAAACAGAGGAGCGTCACTTTGCAGAAGCGTGTGCCAGGCAGTTTCTCAACGTCGCTAATCAGTGGGGGATAGCTGACAAAATTTGCACTATTGGAACAGACAGCGCTCCTAATGTGATTGCAGCAGGGAGAATGCTGCCATTCAAGCATTTGCCCTGTGTTGCGCATGCTGTACAGAGAGCTATTGTAATTGTATTGTCACTTCGGGAAGGTGGTTTTGATGGTGCGCTGGCCAAGTGCCGTAAAGTGGTCGGACATTTCAAACACAATCCGGCCAACTCAGACGAGCTGAATGTCCAGCAAGCCTCCCTTGGACAAGTTCAGGAGCCACTCGTGCAAGATGTTCCAACACGGTGGAATTCCACCCTTGAGATGATCAACCTGCTCTGCAGCCACTCAGGGAGGAGAACCCTGAGCCACCCAAGAAAAAAACAGTCCTGCTACTGATGGGATCAGATACAGAATCAGATGGGGAGACACCAGAAGACAATACTGTGGAGAGGTACAAGGTAGAGCCCAGTGCCAGTCTTGATCAGTGTCCACTGAAGTGGTGGTCGGAGCACACTGCTGTCTATGGTAAGATGGCCCACATTGCCCGTAAATACTTGGGGACTCCTGGCAAAACGGTCCCATGCGAGAGACTTTTTTCTTTAGCAGGCCATATTGTGCAGAAGAAAAGATCTAGTTTGTCACCAGAAAATGTGAACAAGCTAGTCTGCCTGAGTGACTGGTGGGAGAAGGAGAAATAGAGCTTGGACTGATTGACACAAAGCTACTGACTGTAAACAGTTCATCACAACCTCTTATGTACGACCTCTACAGTTCAAAATTCATGTTTAACTGAATAAACAGTTAGTAAACACAAGTACATCTTATTGAGCATGATTTATTTTCATCACCAATTATCATAGTAGAACAGCTTTCTCAAGCAGTTTGTGATGCATTTTGGAAACAGGAGATGAGCCCCAGGTCTAATGTGCCACCTGGCTTGAGAAATCTGTTCTCAAAGACTTACTTTTAGTAATTATTTGGGTAGGACACATATTCTAAATGCCTTCGGCAGAATTCAAATGAGCCGTTTTAATCTAGATTAATTCCAAGATTACAGTGAGATTAATCTAGATTAAAGAAATTAATCTATGCCCACCACTAGTTTTAATCATTCCATTATGTTTCTGGCTGAAGCGTAAGCAATGACTGACAGACATCCACTCTCCAGAGTGTGGCCGTAAAAGCCCTGGACCGACACAGGCGGTCTCTCACACAAATCTGTGGTTTGTTCTAGACCTTTTCAGGACTACTAAGTAAACTATTTGGCACACACACAAAGTGTGCACTGCACTGCAATTATAACAAACAGAACAACGGGTTAGGGTTAACTTTCATCTGAACATACTAATCATAACAGCATAGACATGCCCTCCTTTCAACAGCCGCCAACATTTTGTCCATTGAGGACTCTTCTGACTGATTTTTATATACAAATGATGTAGCACAAAATATATTGCAGCAGATGAAGCTGGACTATAACTCAAATAAGGACCCACATAAAAAAGTAGACACAGATGGCAGGCAGACGCGCACACACGTTTGCAGAGGACACATGTTTGGTACCGTTCAAGGGCCTCTTTGACGAGCTCTTTGCCGCTGGAGTGCGTGGTGGCCAGAACGCTCTTATAGTGAGCTCCCTCACAGATCTCGTTTCCAAAGATCTTCAGGATCCCTGGAGCTGTTATCTGATTGGACAGCTCAGACGGGTCGTCCGCTCGCAAAGCCTCTACAGGGAACACTGCCAAGGAGAGTTAACAACAAAGAGATGAAGTTTGGACTGTGGGTCTCAGTTGTGGTTCCTTATTATTGATGGAAGATTTACCATTTATCGCATACATTATCATAACATACGAGCAGGTATTAACATGAGTCGGCTGAGCCAGTTCCTCGGTCCTCCATCTCTCGCATGCAGCAATGTTATTCAAAAAGAAAATCTTGCAATTTAAGTGTGTTTAATGGCATTGCTAATCGTTTCCCACTATTTCCCATCGATCGCATCTTTTTGTTAGAGGGCCAGTTAAACGGCAATAATGAATCGTGTTGGTTATGAATTTGTTGTACACACCCAAGGTGGAATAACGATAATGACATCATTGGGTAATGAGAAAAGCCTGTCCAAAACCAAAAAAGACATTATACAACTGTGACTAGTCAACCAAGCCTTGTCTGTAAAAAACCATCTACAATCCATCTACAATCCATCTATTGGATTGGATCTAAACATCCCTGGATAAACATGCATGGAGAAGTGTGAATTCGAGGTGACATACTGCTTTGCTTCTTGGATTGGATGGACAGCGTGGCCCGGATTCCTGATGCCAGCGGCATGGAGCCCGAGTTGGAGGTAGGGTCGCGGCGGAAGACGCCCGAGAGGCGGTTGGTTTGGTGACGGATGCGGCTCCTGCCAGGCTGTTTGACGGCCACAACCTCCGCCGACCTGCTGGTGGAGGAGCTTCCCGCAGATGTAGCTGATCTGATGAAGAGAGGAGAGGATCCGGGATCAAGATGCTGAATCCCTTCCAGATTGTCTATTATGTACTTTGGGGGCCTGTGGAAGGGCAGTAGGAGAGGTATGTTTCCTGTGGAGTGTCCCTGCAGGGATGAGTCCTAAAAGGCCTCAATTCTTCAATGGGTTTTTGGTTAGATGTCTGAAGTAAGGTCTGCGGTTAACACAAGGAGAGTGTCACCAAACACCCCTCAAATTTTTGACCTCTTAGAAGTGGATTGCTAATAAGTGGCTAACATGTTGTTGTCACAAATCATAGAAGTTTTATTAATTTAAGAATATTACTGTAAGTACCTCTAAGCATATTTTCTGCAAAAAAAACAATGGAAATATCCCATTGGCTCTTTGTCAAGCGAAACAATGGGATGCTAACATCCCTGGTTAGCTGACAAAAATATGTCACCCTGCAGTACGCTATGATTTGAAAGGATTAGGGGGGAGAGAAATGAAGGAGGAATGATACAAAAGAGTGAAGAACAGGGGAAAGAAAAACAGAATTTAGAACTCAAATTCATGAAACTGCAAAAAGAAGATAGCAAGATGAATAAAAGAATGTACAATGTTGGCATAAAAAAGCGGAATGAGGGGAAAAAGAAGTAAGAGTGGCAGAAAATGTGCATAAATTGGCACACAACATCTTTACAGGCTAAATCACAAAGGTCCTTCACCAGGCCACCCTCAGCTTCCTGCTCTCATTACATTAAGGAAATAATGGAGTGTTGTTTTACTTCTTACCAAGCCTGTAAGCTTCTTATCGCCGACGGTTCAAAGGTTCTCTGTATTCTGTACTGCACTTTTTTAATTTTTAATTCTTAAATATTTTGTGCCTTTTAACTAACTTGTATAACTTTATTTTTAAACTAACCCATAGCCTTATATTACTAACCCATGGAATTATATTTTATTCCTCTTGCACTGTTGTCGTCCATTGTCGTACTGTTATGCACCAACCGCCAAGTAAAATTCCTTGTATGTCTGACATTTTATGGCAATACATGTTTCCTGATTCCTAATGCCACCCTCAAAGATTTGAGGTTCCTGTTTAATGATGTTCGAGAAAGGCGCAGTGATTTGCAGTGGTTGAGTGATTTTGAATGCATGAAACAGCTTTGGTGGTTAAATGCTTAATTTAAAGCTGGAGAAACCAGCATTCCTTTCCAGTCCTGAAGACCGGGAGAGAATTAATAATATATAATCTTTTCTGTATTTTATAACTGCACTATTCTCCTATTTTAACTTGTTTCTATTGTCTGGTCTTTTTTTGGACAATGAATGTTGTTTGTGTGATGTGTTTCTCTTGCACCTTGTCTCAATGCTTTTAAAATCTAAAACCCTCGTTGCTGAAATGGGCTGCCAAATAACCTTAACTTGCTTTTTATTGTATTTTTGTTGATGTTATGAGTATATAATTGTGATGTTTTCTTCTTTTTTATTTGGTTTAATCTGCGATTAAATCATTCTGCACTCTACCCTTTGAGTGACTAAAGCACTTCTCCTGAGGTACCTTAAAACAGAAGAGTAGCCTCACTGAGAGCACAAGAAGAGAAATAGGGTGACGAATACGACTGTTAACCGTGCCTATTTCACACCTAAGTGACTAAAGCACTTCTCCTGAGGTACCTTAAAACAGAAGAGTAGCCTCACTGAGAGCACAAGAAGAGAAATAGGGTGACGAATACGACCGTTAACCGTGCCTATTTCACACCTTTGTATAAAAAGAGTTCATGTACTCACTGCTGAGATCCATCACTTGTCTTCCCTCCCAGTTTGACAAACCGTCTCCTCGGCAAAGCTGTGGGTAAACCAGCTGCTCTCGGTGGGAGAGAACGCAACTCGTCCTGGGAGAGCTTCGTTTGACTCATTCCCGTCTGATGGACTTCAGTGCTCTCACTCAACCTTAATTATTCCACATTCATTTCACGCGCGAGGACAAACGGTTGCCATCTTCGCGTCGGGTTGTCGGTTCTGCGATACACGGAGATCGCGTGGGGTCATTCAGGGTGGAGAGGAGGGGGGTCATCCGGGATTGGCGTCACAGTCACTTTACGTACGGGCACCGCAGATGTTTCAGTCCTTAGGGTGGCCAGATGCTGAAACCGAAGTCCGGTGTACGGCACCCCGTGGCCAAGAGGTCGCGGCTTCACGTCTCTGTTTCTGTGACTCCGACACGTCAGGTGAGAATAGGTGAGCGTGTGGCCGAATCGGAACACCTCATATTATTACAATAGTTATTATTCACCACGGGGAGATGGAGAAAGTTTCGATCCAAACTCGGCTCGAACCCGCTCTCCAGATGTGCGCAATGGTTGGAGCGCCAAAGCGCACACACGCGACCGCCCACCCGTGCTAAAACTTTCAAAATAAAATCCTCACAAGAGAAGCGTTGGATACCGTTGAATGTGTAGAGGTGAACTGAAAGCTGCAGAGAAACTCCCGTCCACCATGAACCGAATGGAAGGGCCAAACGCTGCTGCGTTATATCTCCATTTTCTGGCTGCGCCCAGAACTGAAAAGCCTAAAATCAGCGAGCTTGCTGTTGTACTATAGCCTAAGTCTAATTTAGCGTTATGTAACATAGTTAAACCAGTTCAATTTAAATGGTTGAACAATGCCACCTACTGTTAAATACTGGTACCTACACCGACCAAAAGACGGGAAGGGTTGTGTCTAATCCTACACAGCATTGTTGATTACCATGATGTAACGTGCTTTTCTATGCCCGTGGACAATATTTACTTAATTTACTTTAACTATTAATTTATGGTGTGGCTAGCTTTATTATTTTGGATGTTAGTTGTCTTTGTTTAAACTTGTGTGTGTGAAGTGTGTGAGATGTTTTGTATATGTTGTATTGTCAGTAATGTCCGTTTTTAGCTAGCTAACATCAATACTATGTTGTCCTCCTAGGCACGTGAACCTCAGTCCCTTTTGTGTCCGTTATTGTGTACAGGTATGTCAGTGTTAGTGCCATTTTCCATGTTATAATTTAGATTTAGATCGATATTATTTTGATTCATGTTTATTGACGATTTATTATATCATAAGTATAATTACACTGTGATTACATAATTGTACTCATAATTTGCATGTTAGTTAATACACGTTTAGTGTACATGCTTGGCGTGATACATAGGAGTGACGCGAGTGAGCGCACTGACTTATGACGTAAGCCACCCGTGCTTTGACGAAGCGAGAAAACGCTGTGTAATTGTCCTCTGTCAGATCTTTCAGTAAAGCGAACGGAGCGAACACACTGTTTTCTACCGTTGTTCAACACATTCAACACGCGTAGACTCGTTCTTTCCGTTTTGGAGTGGTTAAATGAATGAGGAACTGGAAGAAGCAACTGCCGAACGTAAGAAGGGAACTTTAGCCACTACAGTCAGGTTGTTCAGTGTGATAAATCTGTATATCACTCTACGGCATTACTTAAAAGTATTCCATCCCATATTTGGGGAGTTTTGGGCTCCCTGATACAATATCAACCATAAAATGTAGGCTATTTGTATTCGTAGATTTGTCTTACCAATTTGTGGCACTCTGTGTCCCATGCAGCTTGGCAGCCATAAAAGAATGCTTCACCCAAAGAAAAAAGGTCACACCAACTTTGGGCCCTCATTTGATTGGACACAGACATTTCTGCGGACATTATATACATTGTTTTTAAAAAGGGGCAGTGTAAGGTCCAAAAAGGTATTGCGTTGCCTGAGGGCAACAGTATGCCATGGAGGGATATATTTTTGTTTATATGTTCCTTTATATTTCTTATACATTGTATAAGTATTTTGTGCTCTACAGAATTGTTGATTAACATGAGGCACGTGAAGCTCAATCAGGGTCAACACCTGTGGTCTGTTTTTTGGCCTCTACTCCAAAATGGCATACCCATGATATAAAGTCTGCAACTTTTTTCCTGTCCGGATAAAAGTCTGAACCCCTGTAAGTTTTCTGATGTGCACAAATCTGTCTATTGGTGAAGAAATAAGTCAATATTATTCAAATGTGAATAAATCCCCTGAAACAAAAATACTAACAGCCCCATAAGCCCTATAAAACATGGAGATACCAGGCTAAAAATACATGTACTTGATAGCCCAGTGTGTGGACAGTTAGCATGGAAAGTTTTAGGGTTCATAAAATGAAGATAAACTGCTCTAGAAAAGGTTTTTTTGCAGGCCTCACGGCAGAGAAACGACAAGAGTCCAAATCTGGAAGTCTGGCTTTGGTTGGCCAAATGTCGTGGTTCACCTCTTTTTTTGATCGTCTGATCGTATTGGATCCGACAAACACCACGTGTAAAAGACCGCTCCATTAGCCACTCAGCAGCCAAAATGGGAAGAGCGTAAACTGACAGTCAAGTGTGAAGATTGGCTGAGAAAACCCCCTTAACTCCTAAAACCTTACGGGAAACGCAGAATCTCACAAAAAAGAATTGATTGGATAGATCTCAGAATTTCGTTCAAAACGTCAAATGTAAGGGGCGTTAAAGATTCATGTGCTTGTGATGCTTTGTGGTTATTTTCCTCTGGCTTTTATCTGAGAGAAACGATGCGAATCTAACCGTCTTCCGCCCTGTCTCGGCTACCGATTCGGTGTCTTGTTTTCTTCGTTAGCTTCTAGCTTCACGTGATACATAAGCACTGCCATGTGTAATTTATCCATGTTAATTTGCGTAACATATTTAATGACTTGTTAGAGTTGTATTTGGAGTATTTTAAAATTGATTAGTGTAGATTGTAGCAAAGACTAATGTTTCAAACAATGTGAAGCATTTGTAGATTTGTTTTTGATGAGTACACAATACTCCTGTTGGAAGGTGGTTCTTGCTCGGTTTTGGCTCAGTTCCGAACCAAATCTAGTGATGCTCAGGCAAAGAGGGGGAAACACCAACAGTCAGAGTACAACGTAATTAAATAAAAACAAATAATATGATTATTTTGTTCTTGAAATATATTAAATAAAAAATATCTTTTGTCGTCCACCATGCCATTTATACGTCTTTCAGCAGTCTTAATTGGATACGATGGACTTCTTAGTATAGTGATTGACTTGCTAAAGGAAAAACAAAAAACAGACCATTCATCCATATTTTCATATCTTGTAAAACTAATCTAAAGTTTTTCTCAAGCCATGCCTCTTAGTTTACCATGATAACATAGTGGGGAAACACTTGGACTAATTCTTACTATAATGTTCTTTGGGCCATAATTCACTATTTCAGTAAATAGGACGGACCTTGATATACCAGGGAAAACAAGCCATGCACTGATAGACTGATTTTTAGATAAGGTAATAAAATAGATTCTTTACATGTACTATGTCTATATTAACATATATGTAAATGTAATCTAATGAGCACATTTATTTAGGACAATGAATAGGCCGTTACCCTGGGTACTTTGGGTTCCATTATCGTGAGTTACAGGACTCTGCAGCTAATCAACACAGACCCTGCTATAAAGAGTATATAAATAAAATAAATAGAAACAATTATATTGTTGAGTCTGCAAGCTCTGTCATTGTATAGTTTGCAAGACAAAACAGAGCTGGTGATCATGGTTGACCCCAATGACATCATCAGGAGTTATTATTTTGCCTTCACCGAGCTTCCTCCAGAACCAACATGCTAAGTGATAGGTCAAGTATGACAAGAAATGTAAACTTGATGTATAACATTGCGCCTTTTAAGTTCTTGTTTGTCCTCAGGAGATTTTTGGTTTTAATGCAGGACATTTCAGTAAAGGACTTCTAGGTGGGAAGACATTAAACATGTAGCGGAAAAGCTCAGGGGCAAAATGTTCAGCTTCCAAATAAAAAAAAAAAACAGTGTAAAGAAATTACAAGATGTACAGTGACAGTGATTTAGATATAGATTTTGTCTAATGGATGTTTGATTTCTTCCTCAGGTAATTAGAAGCATTTAGCATTTTATTACTTGTGCACTGCTGTCTTGTTGTCTATTGTTGCACTGTCTACTGTCCTACCCCTCCCCCACCAGCAACGACCCTCTCTATTCTGGAGAGAGACGTTAACCGGCTCTTTAGAAGACTAAATCCCCGTAAGGCAGCCGGTCCGGACTCAGTCTCCCCTCACTCCCTGAAGCATTGTGCTGACCAGCTGTCTCCGGTGTTCACTGACATCTTCTACACCTCCCTGGAGACATGCCACGTACCAGCCTGCTTCAAGGCCTCCACCATCATCCCTGTCCCCAAGAAGCCCAGGATCACAGGACTCAATGACTACAGGCCCGTCGCCCTGACCTCTGTAGTCATGAAGTCTTTTGAACGGCTAGTCCTGACCCACCTGAAGTCCCTCACCAACCCCCTCCTGGACCCCCTGCAGTTCGCCTACAGAGCCAACAGGTCTGTGGACGATGCTGTCAACATGGCCCTCCACTACATCCTCCAGCATCTGGACTCCCCAGGAACCTACGCCAGGATCCTGTTTGTGGACTTCAGCTCTGCTTTCAACACCATCATCCCGTCTCTGCTGCAGGACAAACTCTCCCAGCTGCACGTGCCCGACTCCACCTGCAAGTGGATCACAGACTTCCTGTCTGACAGAAAGCAGCACGTGAAGCTGGGGAAACATGTCTCAGCCTCTCGGACCATCAGCACCGGTTCCCCCCAAGGCTGCGTTCTTTCCCCTCTGCTCTTCTCCCTGTACACCAACAGCTGCACCTCCAGCCACCAGTCCGTCAAGCTCCTGAAGTTTGCGGATGACACCACCCTCATTGGACTAATCTCTGGTGGGGACGAGTCCGCCTACAGGTGGGAGTCTGACCATCTGGTGTCGTGGTGCAGCCAGAACAACCTGGAGCTCAACGCTCTAAAGACAGTGGAGATGGTTGTGGATTTCCGGCGGAACAGAGCCCCACCCTCCCCCATCACCCTGTGCGACTCCCCCGTCACTATTGTGGATTCCTTCCGTTTCCTGGGCTCCATCATCACCCAGGACCTCAAGTGGGAGCTGAACATCAGCTCCATCACCAAGAAGGCTCAGCAGAGGTTGTTCTTCCTGAGGCAGCTGAAGAAACTCAACCTGCCAAAGACGATGATGGTCCACTTCTACACGGCCATCATCGAGTCCATCCTCTGCTCCTCCATCACCGTCTGGTACGCTGCAGCCACAGCCAAGAACAAGGGCAGGCTTCAGCGGGTCATCCGCTCTGCAGAGAGGGTGATCGGCTGCAATCTGCCGTCCCTGCAGGACTTGTTCGCTTCCAGGTCTCTGAAGCGAGCTAAAAAGATCGCGGCCGACCCCTCCCACCCCGGACAAAAACTGTTTGTGCCCCTTCCATCTGGGAGGAGGCTGAGGTCCATCAGGACTAAGACCTCCCGCCACACGAACAGTTTCTTCCCGTCGGCAGTCGGGCTCATCAACAGAGCCCGGTCCCCCACTGACTGACTATAACATTCCACCGGTCACTCCCCTTCATACTGCACATGCCACTTTAACTGCAATTGTTCGTTGTTCGTTAGTGCACTTTATGCTTAATATTTTTCTTTTTAACTT